ACTGATTTGAATTGAGGGTGAATAATTACGGGTTGGGTTTTGAGGCACTTCTCTGCCAGAGTCTGAGATGTGTATTGCTTTGAGGCGAAACACTCCAGATTTGTACGACTTGAGGAGACACAACAAACTGTGTTCGAGTGGAAATCTAAACTGTGGTCGACTTGAGGTGAGAATACAAACTGGGTTCGACTTGAGGAGAGACTACAAACACTGATGTCGACTTGAGTTGCGAATAAAACTGATGTCTACTTGGGGTACGAATACAAACTGGTGTCGACTTGGGGTGCGAATACAAACTGGTGTCGACTTGGGGTGCGAATACAAAACTGGTGTCGACTTGGGGAGCGAATATAACTGGTATCGACTTGAGGTGCGAATACAAAACTGCTGTCGACTTGGGGAGCGAATATAACTGGTGTCGACTTGGGGTGCGAATACAAAACTGATGTCGACTTGAGGAGACACAACAAACTGTGTTCGACTTGAGGTGCGATTATAACTGATGTCGACTTGAGGAGACACAACAAACTGTTGTCGACTTGAGGTGCAAATATAAACTGGACCCTCTGGTCACTTTTTTGACCGAGGTAAAGAGGAAATCAGAAGTGCAGGGTGAGGGAAACAGGGTATTTCCCACGCTCTGTGCTCGGCTCTGTTGGGTGGTCGCTTCAAAGACTTAAACTTTCAATAGTGAAAAGAGTAGCCGAGCACAGTTATGTTATTTGCCTTTTGCTCAATAGTCAATTGTTGCCCCTCTGATTTCACAATGCCCTTTGTAGTGGACAGTTGATATATAATGCATTCTGTTAAGTGAACTACTTAGAAACGAAAACAATCACCAATTGCATCAAGGCTTCACGCTTGTCATGCAATTCGAACAGTTCTACCGCTTAGCGGGGTGTCTTAGATTCCCAATTGGCCCAACAGACACGCCTGATTTGGGACCTTAACGGGAATCTTTAACAAGAGCGTACCGTTTCAGGAATTTAGCATTGAGACGTAAACTAGGGCAATAACTGTACCCATTATTTAAATGTTATTTGAACACCTGGGTTTCAGTCAAAGTGTGAAGTAAAACTTTTGAAACATTGTTTATTTCATTACGTTTCGGTGAGACAACAGAGCGATCATCAGATTTAAAAGTTTATACAAAGTCATGATTGGCAAAAATTAACGTCCTTTTAGGTCTTTGCCTTCTTAAAAAGCTTGAGTTTGTCTGAAACCCAGGAAAGATAGGAATATCATTTATTTGTAATGCAATCGGGAATTTGAAAATTAATTGTAACAATAAAAAAATATAGTGGGTACCATTTTTGTCCTTATCAATTTCGGTAGCGTGCAGGTACGCACGCCACTGGCGAAATTTTTTTTTTGCAAAACATGCGTTTTCCTAGCTATTGATCCCTGCAAAAATTCGTTAAAATGTCTCCATGCGTTTTGAAGAGATTTATCAATTTGTGTCTTTTAAATAAAATTGTAACAGCCTATAAATCCTTAACTAAGCATTTTTAGGTTATTGTTTAAATAGGGAACTAGGCTTATTTTCGGACCTAGAATACGTGGTTAAAATAGTGCCCCTGTCTCATGAAACACCTTGTTTATGGGAACCGTTACAGTACTTTTAAGTATTATGTATTCCCGGAGTGTACTTATTCAATAAAATATCAACATATTATAGAACCAAAATTAGCAGGACTCACTTAAAGGAAAACTATGAAAACAAAACAACTTTTATTTTTAAAGTTATATTTCGACATCCTATCCAAATGCTCTCAATAACAGTTCAAAATATTGTAACGGAAATGGCCTGGGGTACTCACGTTTGGAATCGAGGATCGAAATTCATGGTATTTCAGTAAATGGGAGCCCCATTTGGGCCCCATTTACTGTCAAATATGACACTGACAAGCGGGAAGTTTCGCACCTG